TTATTGATGGTAATAAATCGAATAAATATAATAAGAATCCTTAAAATGAACAAGATTTATATATTAATAAGTAGCTAAAAAAAAAACCAAAATGAAAAATATAAGAATATGAAAATTAAGTTATTTTTTACTCTAACTCTAAATTATCTAATTTCAAATTGACTAGACAATGTTAATTTCATTTTTATAGCTCAGTTAAGTAATTAAATTCTAAATAAGTGAATTTAAATTTATAATTAAGTCTACTATAAAATAATAAGAAATTATCTAATAATCTACTTGCCAATCTAATAATATTATTGGCTTTATTCATTTTTACATTAATTCTACAGTTGTAACAAATGACAGTTTTAAAATTCCTATGAATTACCATTTTAGCTACTTTTAGATAATATATAAATGCTTTATACTTTTTTGCTCCACTAGTATTATCCATATCAGCTAGTGGATAAATGAATACCTTACATTTATCTTTTCAACTCTAATTTAGATAACAATGTTTTAAATTTTGAATGAGAAACTTTTAAATTTAATAATTAAATTAACCATAATATTAAATTAATTAATAACTTATTGCAAATCCAATTTTTTCCACACTGATTTAATAATAACAACAAATAGCAGTTTAAAAATTTTCAAAATTACTTGTATCAGGTGATTTTAGATAATCATTATAGCAGATTGGCAGAATTGGACCTTTTAATTAACCCTAAATTGAGGATAATATATTAAATTTTACGAATATGTATTATTAATCATAATAAATATATTATTCTTTGATATATTAACTACCGATCTGCTATAATATACATAAATACTTGACGTTTATCTATTTTGCTAGTATTATCTATATAGCAAATAATTGAATATTTTACATTCATCTCTAATCATTTAGATAACAATGTTTTAGATTCTGGCTAAAAGAATTAAATTTTATCATTAAATCAATCATATCGATAATAAGAAATTTACTTGTCAATCCAACAATAATTATTTTTTTTTTTACACCAATTTAGTAATGATAACAAATGACAGTTTAAAAATTTTTATTTTATTTTATTTTTTTTTTTAAGCAATCTTGTCTTTATTCATCAGAACTACTATTCTAATGATCGTACAATGTATTTACATTTTTATAGTATAATGTTCTAGTCTAATAAAAACTTACCAAGCAAAATGCCCAATGCAACCCGCTATAACAACAATTTGTCTCACTCAGGATCTAACACTTTCATCGAATTTTGTACTAACAAGAGTACCTCTCTTGATCATGGACAGGTTGTTGTCTACCTCGTCAAGATCACCTATCTTTCTTTAAAACTTTTTCTACCTAGATCCTGGCAGAATAATTAAATTTCTTATGTTTATATAAAGAAAGAAAATAATATCAAAATTTATGAAAGACTGGAAATTTAAGGCATATACAAACAAGAATCGAACACAAACCCTAAACTTTATCTATACATAAAGGGAAAAGGATAAAAAAAGCAAAAAAAAGACAGGTGAACCTGACACATATAAGAAACAGAAGTGCACTATTATAACCTATGCCAGGTTGATAAAAATTATATACAAGAGCAACATCTGTATATCTCTACTATAAGACTATGCCTTATTGTTATTTTCCTTTCCGACCCAACTCCGGAAATTTCTATAAACCTAATTCATATCTTAAGCAAGTGCTACCGCCGTCCATAGACCCGTATCTCAAGCCACTTGCTGCCATAATCAGGGATTCCTTTTTTGACTAGGACCCGTTCTAGCACTTGAACGTCATATCCATTTTTGGACACATGTTGCTATCTACCGGTCTATCCAGATTTGGAAATAAACAATGTCGATCTTTTGGAGGGGGTAAGCCAAATCTCCACTTTTTGGAAAAAATTTTTGGAAGACCGATGGGGAGGTGAGTAATAGTAAAGTAGGAACCACTTGGCCAAGTAAAAGAGTGTGAGGCTTCTTTAAAACAGTTGTCTGCTGTTCTCCAGATAAGTCAGATGCATATATAACTTCATTATCGGAAGTGAAAGATCTCTTCCATTAGAATTTTTGCACAAGGGCGCACCCTCCTGCCAGTTATCTTGTACAAGAACGCTTCTAACTTGCATGATAAATATATAGAGGAGTCTCCGAGCCAAAAGAAAAAGCAAGACAACCCAGTTGACCTCTATAAAAACTGTTACTATGCGTCTACTTCAGCTCCAACTCCAGCAAACTTCTATTTTTTTTCATTGGTAAGGTTGGTCCAAATGATCGTCGGAAAGAGTTGTTTGATATGAATTTATTTTTATTTTTATTGTTTTTAATACTTTTTATACTAGTATATATATTCTAACTATAATAATTTATTTTAAATTATCAACTTCTCAATTGTCAAAACTATCTTTAACTTTAATTTAAATTTTTTTTTAAAATCTCTAACTAATTTTTTTTTTTTTTTTTTTTTTTAGAGCTTTAATAGTCTTGTCGAAGCTCAAATACAACACTTTATTAATATAATAAACTTGGACAGAAAATTACTAAAGTTTAAAATTATAAGCCCAACATTATTTGGCTGCAATTAATATACCTAGCTGCAACTTGTCACACCAACCTACATATAAGTTAAAGACCTTGTCAGTTTGTCAAAAGCCTATCCCTCTATTCTAACTTTTTTTACCAAGAGCAAAAAAAAATAATGTTTCAATATACCAGAATATACATTTAGAAAAAAAAGGGTTTTATATACATAAAAAACACAAAAAGCAAGAAAAGAGAAATTATAAAGAGAAAATAAAAAAAGGGAAATGAAACGTAAAAAAAGAAAAAAACAAAGAGATAAGCCCATACAGGCTGCAAGAAAAGTGTGCTATTTCTAATTATAGAAATAGCAAAAAAAGGAATTAAACAAAAAAGGCTTCCTTCTCAATACTTTAAAATACAAAAACAAGAAAATGCACTATTATAACCTATGCCAGATGAATGTAAAAATTATATAACAAATACAACATTTGTATATCTCTTTTGTAAAGTGTTATCTTAATATTAGTATTTCTTTCTAACTATATAACCAACTCTGGAATAATTAGTCTGACCTAATCTGTATCTCAAACCAGGTGCTGCCACTATCTGTAAACCTGTATTTCAAGCTAGCTGCTGCCACAATTAAGCTAATTTTACAGGACCTATTCAATTTAGTAGCACTGTATCTATTGAACATGTGGTTGTAATCTACTTGGCTATCTGAATTTGAAATATAAAAATTGTCGATTCTTTGGAAGGGGTAAGCCAAATCCCCACTTTTTATTCAGAAAATTTTTTTCAAAACAGTGGAAGTTATAAAGATAGTTTTTATAGGTAAAGAGCAACCACTTGTATTTTTTGTAAGGAGTGTATTGAAAATTAAAATCTTTAGTTGTTTCCCTTGTCTTTTTTGTTCAATTTCTAAGAGACTTTGTCAACAGAAACTCTCCTCTCCAAGACACTATTTCCACTAAAATTTTTTGTACAAGAGCACTACCTGCCAGTTATCTTGCACCAAACCGCTTTTGGCTTACATGTCGAATATGTAAAAAAGTTAAGCAAGTCCAACCTCTACAAAAACCAACTTATTAGAATATGAAACAATGTTATCTCTAACAAAATATTTATTTTTCTTTGAGCAAAAAATTTGGAACAAATGATCATCGGAAAGAGTTGATAATGTATATATCTCTAACCAATTTTATTTATTTATTTTTTTTTAAACAAAGGAAACCTTGGTCGGCAAGAGTTTATTAAGCAAAGTTAAACACTATATATTGAGACAAAGATACATATACTACACATGCACCTTTTGGGTGCCTAATTTAAGTAGTCTGCCTGAAGGTTCTATACTATCTGCCATACCTGTAACCCAACTAAGGAATTATCTATTAAACCTTCTGATCTTAACATATTTGGCCTAATATTACCCAATACAGGTGTAACTCACTATTCAAATATAGGTTTTGTGATACTACTATATATTTCCAGCCAACTTAGAACACTTTACTATCCTCAAATGTAAGCCCAACAGAGTGGTGCATGTCCCACACATGCATTCACCTGCATGTTCCATAATATCTTCCTAGTTAGTACCTGTTGTGCTGCCAACACCGAGTTCATATTTCAAGCTGCCTTTTAGAGTACAGCCGTAACCCGATTTGTATTTCAGGCCACAACCTTCCTAATTAGTTTCCCATTATGTACTCACTCTAACCAATTTTATAACTAAATATAAAAAATATATTATATTAATTTTTTTATTTAAAAAAAAGTAAATTAAATTTTCTTTATTTCTTCTCTTGTTTAATCTTTTTAACAACTTTTTTTTATTTTTATACTAAAGATAACTATTTATTTACTTATAACTATCTATACAATCTACTAAATTAACTATACTTTGGTTTGAATACTTGTTCATCTTCTGGGCTTGCTAACTATAAATTTGATATTTGGTTTATTAATATAGCACTTCTACCAATTATATTTTAACTATTTAAATTTGGATAAGATTTAACCACTCTAGTAGGTTTAAATTGTAAATAAATTAGATTAAGTTTTTGTTCTTGCATATAATTTATATTTATTTGTTTGTATATAGATTAAGTTTTTATATATATTCTATATAATTACTTATATAAATTATTTAGTAAAGTTATAAGCAAGGCCTTATTCAAAAAAAAAAAAAAAACCCAAATCTCAGATTTAAATATATATATAACCAATTAAAATAACTAAATATTTCAAAAAAAAAAAAAAAAAAAAGCTCTATAGTAAATAATCTTAGCTAAAATTATATAGCTAATAAGGTTAAACAAAATAATATAAATTAGCTGAAACTGGAAAATGCGATTTCTACAAAATTTTCGAAATGTTTAATACAATTTAACTAATACTAATTTAAATTAAAATCAATTTTTAATACTAAAATCTAGATTAAACTATTATAACTAATTTAAATAAACATCTTTAAAAAAAAAACTTCAATTCAATAAGAATTAGTCAACCAAGATATGCGTAACAGTTATCTCTTGATGTATAATGTCTAAATATAAAAAAATTAGTCATATAAAAAATAAAATTTTAGTTCATTTATTACGTAAGCAAAATAAATTTTGTAATTCGCCATAGAAGTTTTTTTAAAATACAAGGACCCACTATCGCTATATTTATAAAACAAAAATTAAATAGTGCCAATAAGTCATTTTGCTGCAAGCTACAATAGATCTTTGAAACAAGGAACTTGCTAAGGGTGCCTTATATTTTAAGTATTTAAGCACATCAAAGGTAGAGATAATGATCAATCACAATATGGCACTATTTTTTTATCAATGCGACTAACTGTAACAAAAAATCGATTGTAGCAAAAATTCAATCCACCTCTATTCAAATGGGGTTTTTTTAATTGATTAAAAAGGCAAAATATAAACATGATATTAAGATCAAATTTAAAAAAATGATCCAGAATAGTAAGCATCGCCATTTTGCTAGTAAATTATTAGTTTAGTTACAGTTTTTTTTTTTTTTTTTTTTTTAATCAAAAGTTATTAGCTTTTAAAGTCTTGATATCGTGTACATACTGTATTGCGCACTTTCGCTATAGCTTTAGAAGTTGTTTAAATAAATATATCCACATATATATATTAAATTATATATAAAATTATGGCAAATGTATAGTTACAATTAAGTAATAAAACCGGTTTTTTGCTGTTTAATTAACCGTTTGACATAATCAAATATAAACCAATTTATGTTTTACTAATCTATTTGGTAAATTTTACAAAATAGTAAAATCAATTTTGAATTTTTTTTTTTTTTCAAATATACCTATTTCATATTATATATATATATAATTTTTAATAAAATTGGTAATTTCTATTATGATGGACTAACCTTTAAATAATAACAGAATATACTGTATATATAATCTAATATAAAATCAATATTATAAACTAAAAAATCTTAAAATCATCCCGATTTAGTCAAAGAATGAGGTGATATTACATTTATTTCGGGGAATAGTTCGAGATGAAGTGTGTATTGTATTCTGCCAAATTAAGAAACATCCAATTAAGTCTAATCCACAAAAGACAATACAAAACCGAAGCTCTACCAAAAGGGGGATGTAATCTCTTTTGACAAATCATCTGATCATATTGTGCTTCGCAGAATTTCTTGGAATTTTAAAGATATGAAAATCCTTTTTTCAAGAGATTGTTTTAATAAATTTCAATACTTTTTATATTCACGTAAAAATAGAAATAATAAAATAGAAGAAAATTAAAGATTGATTTCTATTAGGTGCCATTCAACCAATTTTTTATTTGCCAATTCATTTGAAATTTATCGAAAACCTATTTTTTTGTCATGTTTTTGAAAAATTATCATTTTTTGTATAGACCTATATATTATACTGTATAATACTTTTGTTTAGTTCTAGAACCTTTTCTATATAGGAAGAGGAGATGTCTATATGTATGTTTTTTTTTGTTTTTTTTTTGAATTACAACCAATAAATCTACGGCGAAAGACGGAATTTTTCTTAAATCGTTTTACCGAATTGTGAGATGTTTTTCTAAGTCGTGATATTAAGATTTGTGATAATATTCGTAGAGAATCTTAATAGTTTTGAAGGGTGGAAAAGAAAATTAAATTATACGAAAGAATATGATTCGACCAAGATTATTGGTTGTCTCGAATTTAAAAATCGAAAAAAATCTCTCTCTTCATGAAACGTATGAAATGTGAAAATCGAATGAAAAATGAAATTACATGATTATAAAAAAAAGAAAAAGTAAGGGGATGACCATATGAGTGTTCTCTTGATGTTTTTTTTTTTTAATATGCGTATGGATTTTGGATTTTGAATGTATATCTTACAGTTGGAGGTGGTTGTATATAATTTACTGGCGTAATATAAAAGGGATAAGTCTTAAAATGAAAATGATTTTTTTTTGCTTATATATTCGGGGGAGGTAAAAAATTAAAGAAAATTAAAGATCCCTTTTCCGACCTGGCCTTTCTATAAAAATGAATTAAAAAATATATTAAACGTTTAAGAAATATTAACGAAATTTTTTTTTTATAATATTGTCCTGACAATATATAATAAAAAAAGGAAAAACACGATTTTCTTTGTTTTGTTTTGTTTTTTTTTTTTGCGTTATCTTTTCGTTATGCCATACGAGTAGGCAATGGTGTGTAATAAACATCATTAGAAGCTTCCACAGGGGACGGATATCCATATTTGTAAGGATCATTTACTTCTTTAACCACTGGCTTGAAAGCAGTGATACGTGAAGTGGACGTTAACATCGTTGAATCAATTGGCTGTGGCAAATATAGACAGTTAATTGCTGGAAGAATATTATTATTCAACACCGTTGGATAACCAGTTTGTTGATATGATTGATTATGGTCGACAGGTACCATCTCGATTTGTTTAAAACAATCAGTAGGTGAAGGTGGACTTGGTGGACTTGGAATTCCAGTATAACTACGGTTACATGTCGACAGTGAAATTGCCAAATGATCATTTGAACTTTGTTTACGTGGTTCGAAGGCACTTTATTTTAATAAAAAGAAATATGATCAGTGAAAAATGGTTGATATTTCTTTAATAACCTATTACTAAACAATGAATTCTACATACGTATTATATTCTTTCCAATGAGGATCATGCTGTCTCTGATGCCGCGTTAGGGTAGTGCGACGAGTGAATGTTTTTCCGCAACCAGAATGTGGGCATACATAAGGCCTCTTTCCAGTATGCGTTCTTCTATGTCTGGCCAAAGAAGATGACTAACAATATCAATTAAATCAATTAAAGAATAAAAAAGGATTAAACATAAGCATGAGATATATATATATATATGATATATAATATTTAAAACTAAAAATAAGACAAAAAAAAAACTTACATCACTAAATGATTTGCCACAGTTAATATATTCGCAAATGTGAGGACGTTCTCCTGTGTGGGTACGATAATGAACCGTCAATGCGGAACGTTGAATGAATTGCTTACCACATCCGACCCATTCACAACGATATGGACGTTCACCAGTGTGAATTCTTCGATGACGAGCAAGGTCAGAGCGCCTTGAGAACGCTTTGCCACAGGACGGCCAATTGCACTCATATGGGCGATCATTATCAACGATCTGTTCAGAATCTGTACATTCACTTGAAGTACTTGGAGTTGGGCTCGTTGGGCCATAAAGTTGATGAGTTTCTTCGTTATTCAATAGTGAATGGATATCCATTTTATCCATTATGAATTATATATATTTTTTGTATCGGAATATGGAACTACTTTTTGCAATAAAAAATGAATCAGAGTAGAACCGTGAATTTTATGATAAACGCTTTTTGTTAATGGAAATAAATTGATTTGCTTATATTCGTTGCAAGAAGGATTGGTTTTACAATTAAAGTGAGTGTTTTGAAAAGTCGAAATGAATATTGCATAAAGAAAAAAGATGGTGAAGGAGATTTTTTTTTTCTTAAACAAAAAATACTCCTGAAGACGTCTCGTTTACAAATAGATAGATGCAAACGTATAAAACAAAACAAAACGTCAACGAGAAACAAAGTTACAATCGATATTGGATTTGTTTGAAATAATAAAGGAACTTTGAGGTCGTTGACGTTACTGTTTAAGCACGCATAGGAAGCAGCGATGAACAGTACTATCAACGAAGAAAGTCATAAAAGTTATTTCAAGGTCTATATATCTAAAATTTTTTTTTTTTTTATATATATATAATTTTTTTTTTTTTTTTGTTATATTGGAATAACTATTTTTGTGGTGCAAATAAATTTGTCGTAAAAACAAACAGAAAAGGAGGAGGGTTTTAAGAAAAACGTGGAACAGATAAAATAGATTTTGGCTTTAAATATACATTGTAAAATTGATAAGTTGATTTGTTAGTCGAGTGGCATAAATATATAAAGCATTTTTACTGTTTATGTAAGCATTATTTTAATTTTAAAGTACATTTTATATAAATAAAAAAAATTATGACATGATCACTATTGTTATATTTTACCAAAATATTCGGCGTATTTTAAAACTAATAGTATTGCTTTAATTATTTATTATGTGTAAGAAAAAATGGCATGTACAGCATGTTCAATTAACGATTTTGAAAATCAATTTTACGGATCACATGATGTTTAACATGATTTATATTATTTGTTTATTTTTTTACAATTTATAAACAAAAACATTTTTCTGTTTTGTTTAATTTGTTTATTAAACAAATAACTATAAGATTTGCACTAAGTTACTACACACTTTCTACTTATCCTAATTACTATATATAAAACTTATAAATTTTTGTAGATACGTAATAGTGATTAGATATTCATTTTTATAATTTAAGGTGGGGTAAAGTAAGTACTTTTTTGTATGGAGTGTATATTGTATTCCACAAAAATCTTTTTTTAAACTTTACTAAAAAAAAGTTTTATACGTACGTACGTATGTATATATACGTATTAGTAAATTTGAGAAATTTATGATATTTTCCCGGGGTATACGTTTGTCACGATCACGATTATTTTATTTATTATCATTGGTTCATTTTGTAGATTATTTCTATTTTTATATACTAAATTTTTAATCACCAATCTCCCCACGATAAGAAAATTGGTTAGTCGTGATTAACAATTTTGTATTTATTTACAAAACAAACCAATAAAAATAAATAAAATAATTGTAGCAAACTATATATTTTTAAAAATTTTTTTTGAATTTGAAACAAACAATTTACTATAAAATAAAGCTATTAAGCCAAAAACAATAATTTTTAAAACTAATAATTTGTTATTATAAAATATATATATAATATATAGTTAGTAAAAAAACAACTAAATTTTTTTAAAACTTTAAACAAAAATATTTTAATAACTATTTAGATATATAATTATTTTTTTTTACAATTATTTATATAATTATAAACACTATTTTTGAAAAATTATTTATTAAAAAAACTTTATATAATTAAAATTTTATAATTATAAAATATAACAAAATAACTCTATAGTAATTATCACTATCTCTAGATATATTTAGAGTAAGAGTGTGAGTATTAAGAATTATTTTTTTTTGAAGTTTTAAATATTTTTATTTAGAGTATCTAATTTGAGATATAAGTACTCTAGTAATAATTACTATTGGTTATAGTTAGATTTATTCTTTTTTTATATAATATAAATAGTATAATTATAAAGAAAAGCAAATCATGAGAAAGTTACACTATTACATGTTTGATCAACAGTGAATAACATATAATAGATTTATAGAGTAAACAAGAAAAATTTTGTATTCTCTACTTTATCGAACTATTTTAATACCAAAATAAAGCAAAGATAGAGATTGTTTTATGAAGTATTAAATAATTTTTTAAGCCCTGCACTGGTGCAAATAGTGTTGTTATGTTTCTGTTTTTTTTTTTTGCTCTTCTTTTCTTTTTGTCTTTTTTTTATTTCTTTTTTTTGTATTTGGTTTTTGTTTAGATTTTTCTTATTTTTTTTAGTTACTTATCATTCTTTAGACAAGGATTATAGAATCCTCTTGCTCGATAATTAAAAAAGAAGAGATTTAAAGGAATTGCTGTCATGACAAGCTGTAGAAGCTATTTGTTAATATGCTTATTTATTTTGTTTACAGAAGTAATAAGTAAAAAGATAAAATCTACTATAGCAGATTGAACATAAGTGCATCTGATATAACTAGGTTAGCTTTCACTTGTAACTTAGATGACCAGGCTAATTGGTTTAGTTTAAATTAATAAACTATATAGTTTGTTTATTTGAACTTAATAAAGTAATAGCATAACTGCTAAAGTTATAAAAAAAATAAATATAAAAAAAAATAACAATATTTGAAAAAAATTAATAAAAATAAAATTTTTTTTAATAAATTTAATAAAATTTAAATATTATTAAAAACAATTTAATACTAGCTTTTATGATAATTACTTTATCAAAATTCTAAAAACTTTTTTAAAAAAATATAAGCATTTATAAAAATTGAGTTAAAACAATACATATTTACTCAGGGGGTTAGGGTTTTGTAGCCTAGTGGTCTAGACGCCTAACCCTCCACAGATGAGGTCGACAGTTTAATTATAGCTGGTGGTAATTAATTTAATTAATTATCTTTGTAACTTTTAGGAGCTTTCGAATGCAAAACCCTGTAGCAATAAGACTATATAATGTATATATTTGGCTGATAAAGAATTTTTGAAAAGAGCCCCGAGCTATAGAGAAGACTAGGCACTGCGTGTGACATGGGTCATGGAAGGTAACTGCAGAAGGCTGTGCATGTGAATCTATGATTGGCAAAATAGCACCAACAACTCTAAGGCTGCATTGGGATCTTGTTTGAGAGAATGGCTATATGTAGTTATTCAGAAGTGGTGAGAGAAGCAATAAATATAGTAAGGGCTATGGTAAGAAAATGGCTTTACCAAATATGGAACACCTCTGGCACAAGGAAACAAGGAAAACTAGCTAAAAGAAACCCCAAAAAGTATAGAAGCAAGCGCTTCAGTGATACAAAAATAAAGACAACTAGTGAGTAATATGTTTCACAACCTATATGAGAATCATATGACAAAACATGGCAGAAGCACGGGTCCCAAGTTACTGGCTTGTGACAGTAATTAAATGAGGTACTTAACTCCCATTCTAAGAATTTAGATTTCTGTAATATCATACCGATAGGGAGTACTATAAAAAGAGCGATAGTCTAATTTGATAGTATATGATGCAAATACCTGGATTGATATGAAATAACATCCTAGTACAGTAGCAGGTAGCTTGAGGTATGAGTCTTATGACCTAGTAGCACCTAGCTTAAGATACAGATTAGGTCCTTAGAGTAGCTTCCCAGAGACACAAACTGGAAGCATGAAGAGCACCCACTTAAAAGACACCAATTTGGAAATAATACAAGAAACAAATTAGAAGTAATGTAATAAGTGATAAGGGGTAGAAGTTAGTTGGTAGACATTGTACAGTAGTATATAAGCAGAATATATATAATAAAATAGGTTTAAGAACTATTCAGTGAGTTTGAAAACCGGCCTGATGCAGAACAATTGATAAGAAAATAAAATTCCATATAGCAGGTTACACATAGGTACTAAGTTAGTAACCGGATAAGTCTTATCTGTAATAAATTAGATAGTTGTAAATGTATATATGTATATTTGTAACCACAATACCTTAGAGTACTAATAAACAGTTAAGGCAAGACTGCCGAATTTAAAAAAAAAATACATATTTACTTAAAAAAAATCAAAAAAAAACTCTTTTCAATGATCACTTAGATCAAAATTTATGACAAAAAGAAAACCTATTTTCTATACTGGAGTGTAATAATAATCTATAATAAGGTGAATCAACAGAGCAGTTTTTATAAAGGTCAACCTTCTCTTTTTCTTTAGAGACTTCTTTATATATTCGGTATACAAGCCAAAAGCATCGGTATACAAGATAACTGGCAGAAGGTGGTGCCCTTGTATATGAAATTTTGGTAGATAAGTGGAGGTGAAAAAAGTCCAAGCCTTCTGTCGATGAAGCTAGCAGTTGCAAAACAACTGAAAAATAGTAAAGAACAGGCTTTTTTTAAGCTGTATTTCTTTTTTTTTAGCCAAGTGTTTCCTACTATCTCTTTTTTCACTTTTCTGTCTTTCTTCCAAATTTTTCAACAAAAAGTGAGGATTTGGCTTACCTTCTCTAAAAGATCAGCATTGTTTACTTTTCAAATTCAAACAAAATACTTTTTTCATATTCAGATGAACAAAGTAGGTTATAAATATAGGGTTGCTTTGGCAACAATAACTATACCATGTGACGAACTAATCAGCGCTCTGGTTAACAAAATAACCCGAATCAGGTACTAAAGTTGGAAAAAAATTTTAATGATAAGGCATAGCTTTACAATAGAGATATACGAGATTTTTAAATTTAAAAATTAGTTTTGTTTAAATTTAATTAGATATATAATTTTTACAACGTGTTTAGCATGAGCTATAATAGTGTTTTCATAGATTTATTTTTTTTCTGCCTTTTTCTTCTTCTTTCATTTTTTATTTTTTCTTGTTTTCTTGTTGCTTAGATATTTTTTTCTTTTCTTCTTTTTATTCTGTTTCCTTTATCTTTTTAGTATTAGTTTTTTTTTCATAAGTCAATTGGAGACTATAAATCCTTTTACTCAGGAAGCTAGGAAAAGAAGATTAGGAAAGAAGGCAATCTTAAT